GTCCTTCAGTTATCTGCAATTTTCACGAATATTGAATCAATCTCAATTAAAATTGCATTTAAGTGTAGACTATCAGTTAGCAAGAATACTCCGAGGGTTCTGAAAATGTTCTGGGAAGTCCTGAAATTTTTTTTCAAATTTCTGTAGTACAAAATTTTCCAAAGATAGCCGCGTGACGCTGCACCGCACACTGGATCGAGTCAATATGCTAGATCGGACAAAATCTGGAAACTTTAAAAGCTTATAACTCCGTTTATACCAAACTTGGAGGTTCTAAAAGTGGTTCCATCGGTTTTCTCGTGAAATTTTCCTCAGTGAGCACCCCTTGAAATTTAAAATGTGACAAGTCAAACATCAAAATTTGCAATTTTAGACAAAAATTTCATGTTCGACCTCTCTAATTGACTCGATCCCCTGTGCGGCTGTTAAGGAGAGCGTCTATTGGTGGAGGAGCGAATTTCGATCGAATTAACTCAGTTCATTCTTCAGGGGGAGCGCGATAACAAATTCCCCATTTACTAATTGAATTATTCCCTGCGTCATGCATGGCAGTCTACCATTTTGGCGGGATAATCATAATTAATATCCCCATCCTTGCGACCCCTTTTTTCCGGAATCATTTCCTCGCGGAACTTTAAACAGTTTCATTCGGGCTTCGATGGTCTAGGAGGGTGTCTGCAAGTCCGGAATTTCCGAAAAGTCCGGAAACAGTACTCATTTTTTAAGGGCGGTCCGGAAGTACTGAAAGAGTGTGGAAATTCCTCAAAAATGTCAAGCATTTGTTTCATTTTTCCGTCATATTTGTAGTAATTTGAGCGAGAAATTCAAATTTTTGAAATTTTTCTAATTTCATCGATTGGAGATACTGAAATAGTAGTGAATTTTTCTTTTGGGGATGCACTGAATTTTTTGGGATCGCACCGAAAAAGTACTTTATAAGTACTGATTTTTGGCCTGCCTGTTCCTGTAGACACCCTGAAACGTTTGATTCGGGCTTAGATGGTCTGACGACCTGGAAAACCGGGAAATGTCAGGGATTTTTTTTGTGTCAGGGAAATCGTCAGGGAATCTACCAAACTTCGGTTTGTCAGGGGAATTTACTTTGCATTCGATTTTTGTATCAGGGAAACGTCAGGGAAATCGAAAAATACGGATTTTTTGGAAAATGATTCGCGAATTTTACTCTCGCCGAGATCTCTACCAAAATTTCTACCAGAATTTCTGCTGTTGTCTTTTTGATTTTAAAAAAGAGGAAATAACATCTCGCATAAGTTTAGGCACCATATATTTTACCTTATTTATTACATTATATTCCTAAAACATGAAGAAAATCTTACGTACGTCTTATCAGTTCAACCGTGTCGAAAAATCTGGAATATTTTTTCTTTTTGTCAGGGATGTCAGAGAATTTCTTTCCTCTCGGTTTTTGGGCCAACTTCGTCAGGAAAACCGGGGAAATGTCAGAAAATCTTATTTTTGAAAATTGCTAGACACATTGCGATGTGTAATGAGACCGTTTCCTGTGTTTGGAACGATTAGATTTCTATTACTCTTCAAAAGTCTCATCGCTAAGGCCGAATTTTGATTCCTCTCCCCTTTTTCATGGAGGAAAATGCGTAATTTAGCGCGAAATAGTGTTGAAGAAAATCGGTGCCGTTCGAAGCATCAAATGTATCCTAGAGGAAGTAATTTCAATGAATACAAATCGTAAACGGACCCAGAGGTGCTTCAAAGAAGGAAAACGAAAACAAGTCAGTTTCTCACTTAAGTTGTTTGTGTTTGCCAACACAAAAGAAACTCGCAAAGATCCTCCTAAGGCTGAAACTTTTTCAAAGCGTTCTCGCATATTTATTCAAAGACTAAGTTTTTCCGAGGGTGACCTAATTTCGGCAAATCAAACGCCGAATTTTAAAAGTTCAGCGAGGCGTCGTTTCAGCATGGACGAACACATTCTTATCGGCGCAAATTTCCAAAACAGCTCTTTTTATTGCAGTGGCGTGGCGTGAATTGCGATACATCGATTGTTATGCCATTTAAACCTATGGTAAAGAATCGATTATTAAGGTGTTCGCTGCGAACACCCTGTTTATCGATCCTTTTCCACAGGTTTATATGGCATAACAATCGATATATCGCAATTCACGCCACGCCACTGTTTTATTACCGAGGAACGGAGGTCCGGAGTCAGTGGCATGGCGTGCTTTGCGATTTATCGATTGTTATGCCATTTAAACCAATGGAAAAGGATCGATAAACAGGGTGTTCGCAGCGAACACCTAAATAATCGATTCTTTACCGTAGGTTTAAATGGCATAACAATCGATACATCGCAATTCACGCCACGCCACGGTCCAGAGTACTCAGGAGCGGGGTTGCTCCGCAGTAAACTACGAAAACTTTAACGAAAAGCAATTCTGCAAATTGACGCGGGATCGGATCATCTAGCTTGAGTTCATCGGAAACAAATGCATGGAGCTTTGAGATATGATTGAAATTAACTGAATTCATTCCGAACGGACCATTCGCTCGATGCTATCGGTCTCATCTCGCTCGAAGCAGCGCTGCCTAATTTATCAGTAATCGTAACTATTTTGGTTAAGGCTTAAGGTTCAGTTACACGATCAAATTGAGCCATCAAACTGAAGCTCTGATTGGTGGAAAAAGACCTGAGGTGAGGATGCGACCACTGAGAGGCCCAATTTGATGGCTCAATTTGATCGTGTAACTGGACCTTTAGGAAAAACGCCGTATGAGCCTTCAGAAGTTGCCGAATCTCCTCTAAAAAATCAGGAATTTTCGATATTTTTCCTCCAAATTATCGGATAGCAAAAGTGTCTGCAAATCCGGAATTTCCAAGAAAAGTACTGATTTTTTAAGGGCGATCCGGAAGTACTGAAAAAGTGCTGAAATTTCGTTAGAAAGTCTTAAAATTTTCCATTTTTGTCGAAATTTGAGAGAGAAATTCAAATTTTTGACATTTTTGAAACTTTTCGAATTTCGTCAAACAGAGGTACTGAAAAAGTACTGAATTTTTCCGTCGAGGAGGTACTGAAAAAGTACTTATTTTTGATCAGCCTGTTTTAGTAGACACCCTGGTAAGACAATCGCCGGAATTTATTTTTCATTTAGTTGGAAAATTTGTATCTCTGATCGCGACGTTGCAAGGATTGAAATTTTCTCTAAATTTTCCTCACGGATTAATACATGTTGATAGAATGTTTCAAAGAGAAATTTTTGTTGATTTTTTTTTTTTTTTCAGAAAAGGTAAAACACTATCGAGATTTTCAAGAATGTGGAGAAATTCAAAATTTTGATATATTTCGAATGTCGACAAATAAAAAAGTACTAGAACGTAGTAGTAGAACGCCAGAGTGCGTTGTAAAGCGACTTTATGTATATACTAAATTTTTCTCCTGAGGAAGTACTGAATTTCTTAGAAATGTACTGGAAAAGTACTGTGAAAGTACCGATTTTTGGCCAGCCTGTTTTCGTAGACACCCTGGACACCCTGGATTTGACGAAATGCCTGATTTTACTATTTGCCTGTGACCCGTATAACCGAGGGTTTTTCCTCCGGCTGGGGTTTGTAGAACGTCCAAGTGTTTATTTCTTCTTGGGGATTCGACAGCGAGGCAAAGTTCGATCCCTCGGTTTGTTGTTTTCCGGCGCGGCGTCGCGGCGCTGCTGCGCGGCGGGCGTCCATCTGTTCCGAACCGAAGCCATTCGGGGAGGAAAGCTCACGCGCCAGGGCCCCTCCCGAAGCTCGCGGCGGCGCCAGCCCCAATCAAAACTAAATAACTTAATATCGGACTAACATGTCGTTTCGGATTGATAGCCGCCAGGCGTCGTCGCCAGCCCCGACGCAACGCACAGTGCCGCCCTTCCGTGCTAAGGAAAAACGCCGTATCTGGGTCAGGGTTGCCACGGTCAGGGAATTCAGGGAAAACCTGGAAAAGTCAGGGGAAAAAAGTGCTCTGGAAAACCTGGAAAAATCAGGGAATTTGACCAAAAACAGCTAAAAGTCAGGAAAAAATTGACAATTTTTACGAGTTGCTTAAAATCTTCCTTTTTTCGGTTTTCAACGGTTTTTTCGTTTTATTGGGTTGCTCAAGAAAGTCAAAAGCATCAAAATTAAAAGAAAAAGTTAACAACCCTTTTTGTATGTCCAAATGTTCTACAATTAATTTCTGACTCCTTAGCTTAAGCGCGTTTCAAATGAGACGCTATATTAGTGCGATGGTAGCTAGCAAGGTGTAAATTTGGCTCTGCGATCATGGCGCGCATTCTCAAAAGTCAGGGAATTTCTCCATTTTTTGTCAGGGAAAACCTGGAAAAGTCAGGGAAAATCATTTCCAAATTTTTGTGGCAACCCTGCTGGGTGTCTACCGGTCCCCAAAAGTCCCCAATGTCCCCGATTCTCCCTGATTTTAAAAGGGCGCCCCCGATATCCCCGAAAGTCCCAAATGGACCACTAGACAAGGCTCAAATTTCAGCATTCTGATACATGGTTTTTCACCAAAATTTCACGTAAAACACGATGCGCACAACGAAATTTACCGAAATCAACTCCTTACGAAGAAATTAAATGATTCTTGATGCGTGAATTCAAACCACCCGCTCATGAAAACTCAATGCTCTACGTGATTCACATCGCGCGCTAAACGTTGTCATGAACGTCTCTGCGATAAAAAAATCTGGCAACCTCAATCTTGAAGCTTTGGCTCAGCTATAGCAACTTACTAATAGTTTGAAAAACACACGGTGGGAAATGAACATTGCTCGATTGAGAAGCCTTTTTATTTCCAGTTTTTGATCCCCTCGATGGGGAAGGGGGAGCAACTCAAATTTTTCAAATGACCACCCCTGCATGGCCAGTGGTGCGTGACTCTTGAATGACCCTGTATTTTCTTTGTCTTATAAAAATTGCGTTCATTGAATACTTTATGTAGATCTTAAAGTAAACAGCTCTTATGTAATTGATTCGTTTTGTTTGTTAACAGGACCGAAATGAACATATCAACGATATCTCGGTGGAGTATCAGTTTTGGGACCGGAATCATATCCTGGACCTTCAGCTCAACAAGTAAGAAGACTTTACTTCCATATTCGGACGTATTTTTGCTAAACGGAACTATATGCATAGCATTTGCGTGGAACTTAGTTCCTTATAGCACCAAAATACGGATTGGCGGATCCATCGGATTGGCAACATTGTTTTTCCCCCATTTAAACCAATAGAAATGTATCGATTCTTAGAGGGGTCAGGACGCCAGGTGCTCCTACAAGAATCGATTATTCAACATAAGGTTAAATGGAGGCAATCCGGTGTTGCCAAATTGTTGCGCCTGTGGAAATACGTCCATTCTCACTTTGTTACGGTATTATTTTAAAACGTAGATTTTCTGGGAGATATTTAAATATTGTCTTCCATTTTTTACAGAAGTTTGTTCCCAATTCGATCGAAACCGTCGGAAACTTTGAAAGAAAAATATTCGCATTTTTCTTTCAAAATGGCTCTCTTCCGAGGGATATTTGGCAACATTAGAATGTTCCTTTTTCTCAGCATGATTGTATGCGTCCGTCACACAGTGGAATGAGTCTATGGAAGAAGTCGGACATTAAATTTCTGACAAGAATTGTGAAATTGTACGTTTATTTTGTCACAATTTTAATTTTAAGGGGTGCTTTTCCTAGAAAATTTTCCGAGGAAACCAAAGAAACTGCCTTTTAAACATTAGAATTTCATATGAATGAAGATATACGCTTTTAAAGTTTCTAACACATGTCCAACCTCTCCCATTGACTCGATCCATTGTGTGTCAATTCACAAAATTAACTAAAAATGGGACCAAGGCCGCAAAATTAAAAATAAAATAAAAAACCGGAACGTGTCGCAATTCTCGCTCCTGCATTTTAAACCAGAAATACAAAAATAAAAATTTAAAGGAAACACTAACTCATACTGGTTATGAGACTCTCCGTCAATTTATTGATAACTCCTCAAGTGTAAAGTAAAAATAGGCCCTCAGGATACTTGCAAACACTCAGAATACAGCCAACCGGTTGATACAACTTAATCAACTCCGAAGTGAGCTTGGGTTGCATCGCCAAATTTGAAGGCGCACCAGTTCACAGTTCTGTCGGTTGATTCACGGAATTTGTCGATCGGTTCACGTTCTCATTCTTCGATCGAATCGACACAGTTTTTTTAATAATTCGACGATCGAATCGCTGTCGATCGATTCATGTCGATCGAATCCATACCTCCTTTTTATTCGTGTGGACTGACGTGGACCAACTTCACCGCCAAAAATTCTGATGTAAGACACGGAATTTGTCGATCGGTTTACGTTCTCATTCTTCGATCGAATCGACACAGTGTTTTTAATAACTCGACATCGAATCGCTGTCGATCGATTCATGTCGATCGAAACATACCCTCTTTTTATTTGCGTGGACTGACGCGGACCAACTTCACCGCCAAAAATTCTGATGTAAGACTATTTATGCTGTATTTTTGAAGTATCAATACAGATGACGACTACATCTCGGAAATGAATCGTGGATCATGCAACTATTATTCCCATATTTTCTTTGATCTCTAAATTTTTATATTTGAGGGGCCCGGAGAGCAAGACGCGTAAGTACAGTTTTTGCCATTTCGAGAAAGACGTGTTTGAATTTTCACACTTACTCTGTACCTCATGGCCGAAAGAACATTGGCGGATCCAGCCAATTGGCAACACTGTTTTTCTCAATTTAAACCTATGGAAGTGTATCGATTCTTGGAGGGGCCAGGTGTCTCGACCAGAATCGATTATTTAACCTAGGTTTAAATGGAGGGAATCCGTTGCTGCAAAATTGCTGGATCCGCCCTTGCGAAAGAAAGTGCAAACTGACTTTTTGATTCTTAAAAATTGGAATTCAGAAACGAATTTGCCATAAAATATGCATTAAGACTAGTTGTACGCGAAATCATTTATATCTCAATTTTTTTTTTCAAAAATTGTTCTTATGCGCCGTGTCTTCCAAGCCTCTCATTTGTTATTTTTTGCCATTATGTGAACTATCGCCGCATCCGCTGCTGTTGTTATTTGTTGTTGTTTTAAATGGCTGTATCGTTGTCGCCATTTCCGAGAGAAACTGCGATATATCGATTATCTCTCATTTAAAACTATGGAAAAGGATCGATAAACAGGGTGTTCTCAACGAACACCTTAATAATCGATTCTTTACCATAGCTTTAAATGGGGTAATGTCGATAATCGATCATTCGCGCCTCGTCACCGCTACGGAATCCAAACCAAGTCGTGTTCGGAGCATCCAGCGTTGTGTTTATTCGTTTCGGGCGGTGACTGACCCGCGCAATTCGCGCCAAGGAAGCGAGGATGCCTTTTTCACGTCATAAATCATTTTATGAAGTCTTTCGACGACAGCTTCTTGACCCGGCCAAGTGTATCTCGACCACGGAATAAATCTTAAAGCTCGTCGGGGCAGGCCTCCCTCCCGGCGCACAGTGGATCGAGTCAATAGAAAATAGGTCGAACAAAATGGAGATGTTGCATGTGTGAGGGATTTGCGATTTGACCATTGATTCTTACGTGAAAGTTCGCGAGAAACACGATGGTGCCACTGGTTTTCTCTGAAATCATCTACCGAGCTCAAAAAAAGCTCTCAAAGTGAGGCCAAAATGGAGGGGATATCCCACCCTACCCTGAGAGTCCACCTCTACATCAAGATAGAGTCCCTTTATACCCAGAGTTAAGACAACTCACTTTTGGTTGGGCCAGGGTTGGGCTGAAAGTGGCCTAAAAAAAAATCCAATTCTGATTGGTTCTCGCTCATGGAGGCCAAAACGAGTGCACCAAGATGGCGGTACCTCGTATGTGAACAAAAATAATGAAAATATTACCTAATTGTGGTTTATCAAGAGTAAATTGTTATTTCCATCAGTCCAAAATGAAAATAGATTAAGAAATTATTCACAAACCAATCTCATTTTCTTTTCAATTGATCAATTTGTTGATGTTGTTGTTTTTGTGTGACGGACATTGCAGGAATCCTGATCCTTATCCCTCAATATCGTTCGTTTGGGTGCACTCGTTTCGGCCTTCATGGCCAGCCAAGGTCGGCTGCCAGTCAGCTGATAATCGAGTTGTCGTTACTCTGGGTATAAAGGGACTCTACATCAAGACAAACTCTCCATGCAAAGATAGGGAGCAAATACATTAGCAGTGATGCCGTGTTTTCAGTTTCAGAGTCCCCAAATAAAGTGGCAGCCCTGTCAATGTATTTGCTCCCTATCTTTGCATGGAGATTTTGTCTTGGGACTCTCAGGGTAGGGTGGGATATCCCCTCCATTTTGGCCTCAACTTGAGAGCTTTTTTTGAGCTTGGGAGATGATTTCAGAGAAAACCAGTGGGACCATCGTGTTTCTCGCGAACTTTCACGTAAGAATCAATAGTCAAATCGCAAATCCCTCACACGTGCAACATCTCCATTCGGAAACTTTAACCGCTTGTAACTCTGTTTATACCAAACTTTGAGGGTCTAAAAGAGGTTCTATTGGTTTCCTCGTGGAATTTTCTTCTGGATACACCCCTTGAAATTTAAAATGTGACGAATTAAACATCAAAATTAGCGGTTTTAGTCAAAAATGTCTTGTCCGACCTCTCGGATTCACTCGATCTACTGTGCGGCGTTATCCGATGTGTTCAATGGAGATCGTGCCAAATTACCGCATTTATTCTGCCGTGCTGAGAAAAAACGCCGTATGAACATTTACATGCTGCCATATTTCCCCCGATTAAAATCTGTATTTTCGAAGAAAGTTATGCGTGTTTTTCACTGAGACTTTCAGATAGTTTACATCGGATTGCGAACAAAATTTTTTGAAAAATTGGGGGTGAAATATTTACAATTTTCCCAATAAATCCTTTTTTTATCAGATGAAATTTGGCAACGCCTGAAGGTTCATATGGCGATTTTCCAGCACGGTAGAGTTGCCCTCCATTAACCCTCCTCGTGGCAAATAGTTTGCAGTTAAAATTTACAACGCGTGGCTATCATATCGATTTATCCTTTTGTTCAATAGGTTTGCTGTAATTCCTATTTCCTTGTGGGATTTGCTTACCTGTAAGTTTGGTTTGCACGGAAAAATGCGGATGATTTTGAACCAAAAAAACGTAATTGCAGTTCAACATCGCTTATTTCTACTATCGCAAATCCCTGGTAAAAATTGGCAGTAGAATCTGTGTACCAAAATACCATAGACCTACAGCCGGCTGTAAGATTTCCAATAGCTTCTATAGCCGGGCTACACAATTTCTTATAGCCTTTTATAGCCGATGGCGACTAAGCAACAGCCAGGCGATAAAGTGTATGCTAAACGTCACTAATTACGGATGCTAGGACTTGGTGAGTTTTTGGAATACTGCTCTTTTTTTGGGCCGTAGTATCTTAATTTATTTTGCGAGGAAAGCTCCGTACTTTTGATGGATGCCTGCCATTACTAATATATTGGAGCGCCTTCAGTTTCGTATGATACTGTGCAATACCTCTGGTGTGAAATAGTTGCTTCAAGCGACGTGGCAGACGGGCAGCCAGCGCGAAACACGCATTGGCGCCTACAAACCTAACAGGGATACTTCACGCGTTGCGCAATGCGTGAAGTATCCCTGTTAGGTTTGTAGGCGCCAGTGCGTCGCCGCTCCGCTTTGTGTTATAGGCTCTAACATTTAATCTGGCGGAGTCAGCGTTATTCAACTCATGATTTTGAAATGTTTGCACATCCTGTATGGATTATTCTCATTTTAATTGATGAAAAAAAATATGTATTAAAGGAAAATATAACGTGTGTTTTGTGAATATTAAGGTGGTTCCGTATCAAACTTAATGATTTCCAAAGCACACGAATTTCTACACAACTTCTTATAGCCTTTTATAATCGATGACGAAAAAGCAACAGCCAGGTGATAAAGTGTAAAGCCCGGCGATAGGAACTATAGCCCGGCTGCATAATTTTTTATCGCTTCTTATAGCCCGGCCGTATGATTTTCTCCGCATTCTACAGGCAGCTGTATG